GTAGTTTATTTAGTTTAAAAAAGATTATCCAACGATTTACAGACCACTCTTTCCCCATGTAAGTCAATGGGAAAAAGTGTTTCCGGGGAAGTGTAGTACCGCCGTTTGGCCACAACAAATATTCTCATCAGAGTCCGGCGCACTTCCTGGGGGCTTGGTAATAATGGATTATGACAGAAATGTTACGATCCTGTTCGTCAAAATGACTGACAACGAAAAAGTCTAACGCCACCACTGCTTGGGAGAAAGAAACAATGTGATATTTGGGCCCATTTTCGCTACAGCGAGGAGGAGAAAAAAAGCGAATGCATTGTTTATCAAAAGGGAAGCAATGTGGCCATAACACAGCTGGTAAAAACACCACAAACCTGACAAGATACTTAACCATTCAACCTTTGTTTTTCATCAAATAATGACAAGATATAATCTTATTGTGAAATAAGTTTGACTAAAATGGCAAATTATTGGTTTTGGCTGGACTAGTTTGACTGAAATGTTCTATATAATCAGATGACAAAAAAGACTCAAATGTCAACGGTTTTCATTAAAAAAAAGTTGACTAAAATCTAAATTTTGATTAAAATAGTTACTGTTTTCGTTGACTAAACTAAGACTAAAATGGTCAGACTTTTAGTCCACTAAAACTTGACTAAATAAAAACAGGATGAAGGTGACTAAATATGACGAAAACTAAAAAGGACATTTGACACATGACTATGACTAAATAAAAAAATAGCTGACAAAATTAACACTACAGTAGACATTGATGTAGGACTGCTGATAGTATACTGCTGAAATGTTGCTTAATCCTAGTTTTAATATATGAACTGAATTGAAAACTCATTATTGTTTACATTTGATTCGCACCTATTAGCAAAAGAGACGTGATAATGGTGTTGGAGTTTAGAGACGACTTCCAAGATATATCCCTTTCTAAGTAGCAGGTTCACAAGTTTAAAGTAAGCTGTTAAAAATGTATATTGTCAGCAGCCAATTATTTTAAATACTTTATTTTAGCCGATCTTATGCTCTTCACCTGGAGTATTTTAACTGCATACTGCTCATTCAATGCTACCTGGATTACTAATACAAACCACTTTTCTCGGTTTGCCAGAGTTCTTTATTTATTCTGATATCTGTTAATAGAGATTATGAATACTATGAATAGCGCTATATACTACAGTCCACACCAGCAGAATTAGATTGAGGTTGGAGATCTGAAACCGTAATTTCCAATAGGTTTAGTCAACCTATGTTCTATAACAGTGTTCCAACTATGGCAATTAATAGCCAATTTGGCTACGCTAACTCAAACATTCCTAGTCAGCCCATCAGAGATGTGTTAAAAGTTAAATGGGAGGTATATATGACCCCCTAATTAGTTAGTCCCAATGGAATGTATCATCCCTCAGTTTAGCACAGAGGGTGGAAGCTATAAAGATGAACATTCTCCCAAGACTCTTATATTTGTATCAATCCATCCCAGCTGAACTACCGAACGGACATTTTCTAGATCTGGACAGGGCAATTTCTAGATTTATCTGGCAGGGAAAACAGCCTCGGATTAGGTTCAAGACCCTCCAGCTACCTAAAGAGAGATGGGGTCTCTCTCTTCCTAATTTTAAGAATTATTACAAAGCAGCTCAGATAAAACCTCTCGTCAATATATGCAATCCTTCCTACGTAGCACGATGGATGGAGATAGAATGCTGGACTTCGAGCTATGTCCCACTAAAGGCGGTAATAGGTGGGGGTATATAAAAAAAACATGAATGGGAGTCAAATCCGTGGGTGGCGTCATCACTCAAAATATGGTCACAGGTGGTAAGAGAACATGAGAATAAGGAACCTTTTCATATGTTGAGATGGATAGCATATGATTTGGATTTTATACCCAATAGGTCAGACACAGGATTTAAAAAAAATGGGCAGAAAAGGGGTTGATAAAATATAGCGATCTCTTTGTTGGTGGAGCACTCAAAGACTTTCAGGATTTAAAAGTTCAATATGACCTTACCAAACAAGACTTCTATAGGTATTTGCAGCTTAGCCACTACATAGGGAAATGTATAGGAAGGGGAGACTTAGAAAAGACAAACTTGTGTATTCTGATTTTTTTTTTAAAGGTTTACAAATCAGATCAAGGTCTCAAAAATATCTCAAAGTTATATAATGGACTAAATGAGTTAATTCAACCCAGTCTGACAAAAAAACGTGTAATAACTACGTTGGTCCACAACGTAGGATGTAGTATTTTTGCAAAAACGCCTCTGAAATTGTAGGATCCCTACGTTTTTTTTCACCATTCATTCCAATAACTGATCTTCAAATTTCTCCCTGCAGAAAAAAAAAACATGGCCGAACTTTGTTTTATTCTCGGTGGAAAATGTCTATTTTTAAAGTTAGCTTGGCCATTAAAATGCGTTTTGATGTCATTTGATGTGAGAAATATGAGTTGTTATTTCAGATTATGTGTGCAGTGGATGTACATGATCTTTAGTTTGCTAGTTATTACGAAGATTACTTCAGGAAATGGTGTCCATACAACGTTTTCATTGTTACCAAGGTGGTTGCTAGGGACGCTGCTCACGATATTATTTCTGTTATGTTGTGTAACTGTTTAATGGTGTTATCTTTATTGCTACCCCCTTCCCCGTCAATGTATAGTGTTGGTCCACAGCGCAAACATATTAGTTTAACAAAATCCGCATCTAAAATTGTGGCATAGATACGTTATTTTCCCCTGTGCAATTCCTCCATTTACTCAACAATAACACATAATTATCCTTGTGTTTATTTATTTGTTTGATTAATAAACACAAGTTGGAGTCCGTCAGGACCGAGGGTCGGAGCAGCTAATTTGCTTTAGAGAATATTACACCGGAAGTAAGTATTCTCTCCGCTTCGCTTGACAAACCCCGTGATAGTCCTCAAGCTCTGTGATTGGAGAGTGTGCTCCGAGGGTTGTGCCCATAATGGGCAGCATTAATATATATATACCCAAATGACAGCTAAGGTCAGAAATTCTTTATTTAACAGCTGGTCTTATGTCTGTGACCCCCCCTGAAACATGCACTTGTCAAGGTTCAGAGGCAAATTTTGCAAATATGGCAGTAGTCATCGATCATCTTAAAATAAGATATACTTTATTGATCCCAAGCATGTGTAACAGTTGTAAATACGCATTGGTGTTTATTTGTAAATCATTTTAGTATAATCACACAAATTTCTGTGTTTTATA